GGTGCAGCACAATGCACAGGTACTGGGGCGCCACCGGCCGCGCCCGAACCCCTGGACCTACTGCGCGCCAGCGCCCAACGCACTGGTCCTCTGACCCCTCCCTTGCGGCCGCACACCCTCGGTCTCCATAGCAACGCCCCCTCCCTCCACCGCCAGTCCCATCCCGCTAACAAATCAATGTGCCTGCTCTGGGTCTCCAGTCGCACAACGCTGCCCGCGCCCACCCTCCGGGCCCTGCGAGCCGAGCTGGCGTGGGCGCTTCCCCGGGCTCAGAAGCCCAAAGCACACTAGTGCGGGCCCGTGGTTACCACCTGAGCCCACCCTGGGCCGAGACCCCGCATTAGGGGTCGCGTGCCTCCTCTTCCCACCTCCATTGTCCCCAAGTCGCAGCCACCTGCCCCTGCCCCAGCCTGCGCCTCCCACCCACTCCACCCCTCGGCCCTGGGAGAAGTCAACCCTGAGCACGTCTGTCCAGGCCTGGGTGACCATTGAGGCAGAGCCTAGAGGTTGACTGGTTCGTGGGGTGAGCGGCTAGGAGGGCCCCGCGCGGGCCTGTTCCAGACCTGGGTGCAGAGCTAGAGCACTTCCTGTCTCGGGCTCTTCTCGACAACGTGCGTGGAGGACACGCAACAAGAAACATCGGCGTGGAAGTTGAGGGGAGCAGTGGTATTATCTAGTGCGGCCTTTAAGAGAGGACACACACACACACACACACACACACACACACGCCCGCACGCACGCACCACACACACACACACACACATACACACACACACGCACACACACACACTTACACACACACACTCACACACACACACTCACACACACACACACACTCACACACACACCACACACACTCACACACCATACACACACACACACACTCACACACACACACACACACACACACACACACACTGGCAAGTCCCTGGTAGGGGTGAGGGTCGCATAGAGAAGAGTCGGTCCCTCACACACTTGCTAACCCTTCGTCCTAAACTCCTTCCTCCGCTCTTGGTACCCTTATTGAAACCTGGAGGTTCAGCAGCAGCTACCCCCACACTTCACTTTTACCACCCAAGCTCCAGATGACAGAGCCCGACTCCTTGGAACACACAATTTAGTTAAATCGCGATTATCAACTTAACTGCAAGCAGTTTCCCCGGACCAGGGAAGGGATCAGAGAAAGGGAGAGAGAAAGAACGACAAAGACGGGAAACCGGCGAGTCAAGGAGTCAGGTTTAAAAGCAGGAGGCCCCAGAGCTCAAAGCTGTCCTCAGGTCCAAGGCGCTGCACACCTCACGCCCCGGTGCTGCTGGCCTTGGGGAGAGCCGGGCTGGCTGTTCGGGTCCTCCCCGGGGCTCCTCTTGACTCAGTCTCTGGCCTCGCCCCCTGACATTACAAGGTGTGCTCCAGGTGAAGAGTCCTATCTTAACGAACAGCTCATCCGCGACGCCCAGATCGCCCCGGTGACCCATGCCTGCCGCCTTCAAGAGGCCGCCGACGGCCGCGTCCTTAATCATAAAAAGTCATTCCCGGTAACAAATAGTTTCGTCGGCCGGTGCCAGCGATACAGCTGTTTCTGTTTAAGCTTAAATACTTTCCAACAGTTTGGGCAGTAAAAATAAAGTCGGCCTCAGCCGCCTATAAGTGTCTGGTTTCCCCGCCCAGAGAAAGCCCACCCTAGCCCTCGGCGGGGTCGCTCTAGTCGCTCCGCCTGCCCGCGCTTGGAATCCGCTGCCCGCCGCGGGCGTTGGCTGTCGGGCCACCCTAACCCGGAGCCTAGCGGGAGCCGCGGCTTGGTGAGCCTGTTTCAGGGCCACCTTGAAGCGGAGGCAGGGAACTGCGAGGAGTGGGGAAGGGGGCGCATGGGTAGTGGGGGGGGTCAGCTCTCCTCATCGCCTTTTCCCACCTCTGGGAAGTTTGCCCGCCAAGAGAAAAGTGGTGGTTTCCCTTCAACCTGGGTTTCAAGGAGACCGCTGTCCCCAGATTGTGCGTGCCGTCCAGTGCCTTCATGGACCTGGGGTTTTCAGGAGGCGAGGCTCATCGGTTGCTGGTTTCAGTTTCACCGAGAACTCTTCAGCTCTCTTTCACTCCGGTTTTTTTCCTCCTCCTTTCCTTTTTCTTCCTCCTCTCACTCCCTAAATTTGACTTCTTTGCCTAATTAACCTGAGAAGTTTGACGCGAAGAAAGGAAGTCCCTGGCTCTTGCTACCGCTGATGGAGCAGTGCTAGTCTCGCCTTTCTTAGCTCCGTTTTCCTCAACTTGATGGTGATTCTTCCCCAACAGCTCGCTCAGTACAAAGTTAGTGCTTGGGAGTTGTCTGAGTTGAAAACCTGGGGGTTCCTGCCGAGCCCATTGCAAAGTTGGAACTGGATTCAGGAGCAAAGGAAAGGAACAGGATAATCAAAGGTCAGAGGAAACTTAGTTCCTGTCCATAGCAGAAGAGGAGGGTCCTTCAGTGGGACCATCTCAGAGATGGGTGTTACCTTTGCAGAGATGCAACGTGCTTCCAGCTGCAGGCGCTAGAACAGTGTTGCAGAGGCATCAAACCAGGTCTCTTGGTGGCCTCACCTCTGGGCAGTTTAGAAACAAAGGGAGAAGTGGACGCCTGAGGAATGGGGTCCGGTTAGTTCAGAATGGGAAGGTGCCCGCGTATGCCAGGAGGGGGCACTAGCATATGCCCTTATTCCAACCAAGTCTGGACCGGATTTGGGCCGCTCAGCTGTTAGCGCTATCCTTGGAACCAATGCAAGAAGGCTTGCCCACAGCCCACCTTTTTTTTTTTTTTTAATTGAAACCTCCCCTGCCCACCGGTTCAATTCTCCACATCTCTTCTCTCCTCCACACAAGTCCTTTCCCCCTTTCAAGTTAGAAAATCGCTGTTCCCTTGTGCACGTCCCAAAACTAAACAAAAGTTTCAGAAAACAAGAACCGGTGCGGTTAAGCCCACTTCTAGGCAGTCGCTGCTGCCAGGTTTGCGTGCGCCGCCTCTGCAGTAAATAAGGTAACTGCTTCCTATTACTTTAGCCCATATGGCTGCAATTTGAGTGTCTTTGGAGACAGTGAGTGTGTAGGGGCGGGGAGGGGGTAAACGCAGGGAGGGGGGAGTGAAAGTGGAAATCAAATGCTCTTAGATCGCATTTTTATGAAGGAGATTGTCTGCGATTCTCTTAACAGCCCCCGGCTCCCATGATGAACTGCCCGGTTTCTTTGTTTACGGAAATGCAGGCACCCGCTTGCCTGGAGACACCTGCTACCGCAACACACACTCACACACACACACACACACACACACACACGCACGCACGCACCGCTTAGGTGACCTGGGTGCTGTTGCCACACCGCTCTTAGTAGGGACAGGGTGCCCGCCCTCCCGCACCAGCCTACCAAAGGTGCCTAGACTCCCCCGGATCCCTACTTGCACTGCAGGCCTGCGTCGGGGCCACTAAGGCCTGTCGACTCATTCCCCTCCACCACCACCACCACCAGGGAAGCCCGAGGTTGGCGCGGTCCAGGGGAAGATGGGCGCGCCAGGTTGGGATCCTGGGTCGCTGGCCAGACCAGCAAGCCCCAGCGCGTCCTCCAGCTTGAGGCTGAGGCCAGGCCTCGGCTAGTTCTTTGGGTATGTTTCAACTGCGCGGCTTGGCGGGCGTCGGACCTGCTCAGTCTTGGCCACGAGCACGCGGGCGGATTCGGAGCTGTGAAGTGAGCAAGAGCGGTTCCGAGGCGTGGCTATGTGGATCACCGCCTCTGCAGGGCCTGTGGCCCATGGCTGACCTCCTGTCGACCTGGAGCTGGATCTGCCCGAAGCGTCCACTTCTGCCTCACAGCCAGCTCCACAGCCAGGGTTGCATGCCTGCTGAGTGGATTGCCGCCTGCCGCTGGAAAGTGGTAGCGACTACCCGATGCTCTGGACAGAGGTCCGAAGGCCTAGCCTGGGCAGACTGGCTGGGATTTCTGGAGGACGCTCGTCTTTAGTTGTTCTCAGAACAAGTCCGTCCTGGTTT